CCGAAAGAATTATTTTATTATTAAAATAGTAGGCCTATAGCATCATTTCGAAAGAACTATTTTCTTACTAAAATACTATTCTTTCAAATAGGGCGTATTTTTGTATTAATGAAAAATACAAAGTATCAGCCAAAATAAGAATGAAAAACGTACATGCTTAGTCTCAGGACCTGCCAACGGGGATAGAGGTTAGCACTAGACTTCTCTCGGTCTGTGCATCCGACGCTTTTTAATGTTCAGGAATTAATTGTTTGTCTTGTTTTAAGAAATAATGAAGCTTCTTCATTCCATTTTCTTATTATCAGTCAGATTTATTCCCGGCAAGATTTTGTTTTAATGATAAAGATGATTATGATAATAATGGTGTTACTGATAATTGATGTTAATGATAACAATAATGATGATGTTGATTATGATGATGTTGATACGGTAATGATTTATGATAATGATGATGATGTCGATAATGATAATGATGACGATTATGTTTATGAGGACGATGATGATGATGTTGGTGATGATTATGTCAAGGTAGAAGATGAGGAGGTTGACGATTATAACGATGATTAGTATGATATGATGACGTTTATGGCGATGAGGATGACGATGATGATGTTGGTGATGATGATTAGGAATAAGAAGACGAAAATGATGATGCCCATTGTTACCAACACTAGAGATACGTACTGGTAATTAATGAATTCATTAATTCATTAATTGAACAAATTAACAAGAAATAGGTTAGACAGAATTTATTACCCCTTCGAGATATCGGTTTGGTTACAAGTACATGAAACTAAAATCTAGTTGTAGGTTTAGTAATCGACGCAACCCACACGAGATTTAAACGTCACAATAATGGCGAGGCTTTCCAAGAGCGTCAGTTTCCAAAGGGAGATATACGATACGGGGGAGCGGCGATAGGCCGTAGACGACGCAGGCGCCAAATACCTCGGGACAGCCTTATTCTCATCCGTCATAAGTTAACTTTTAATGAACTATTCCACTGAGATGAACATCACCCTCTTTGTTGCTGTTATTTGAACCCAGGAACAGGACACCCATAGTACTATTATGCTGGTTTGATCTGCGCTGAGTGGTTCGCATAAAGCATGCAACCAGCGCGTAAAGAATGGCAACATAT